TGCTTCAAAAGATACATATCATAGATCAAGCTCCAATTGGCAGATTGAAAGAAATTGAAAATTTAAGATAAAAAGGGTACAGGAAACATTGAAGATCAAAGAGAATACAAATTGTGAAATTTTCTCTTAAAAACGTTCTCCTAGGACATGACGCTGCAGTTAGGCATCAAATTGTGAAACTCCTATGCAGGCTTCAAAGCAGAAAGAGCTATGATAATCCTTCCTTTCCATCCCTGCAGCATCCACTCACCATCATCTTCAATTCCAAAATCCTTATGATACCCCATCATCTTCGACATAGTCTTCACTTTCTTCAAGAGCTCCCGGTCTAATGGGAGCTGCTTGAACCCAGCCCTCACATACCTAGCCTGCCACTGCTTGTATGTCTCAGGCCTTTCAACTCTTTCCAGTCCCTCACACGCTATGACATTCATTATGTCCTTACCAAATATTGCTCTTTCGAACAACAACCGATGTTCATTGTCGCGAGGGACAGTGGCCTCATACATATCGAAGAACGCATGGAAGTGGAAGAGCAACTGTTTGAACCGTGTGACAAAGGCAGGTGCATTGTATGCCCCATTGACAACTCCATGCATGAAAAGGTCTGGATTAATTCTCTTAATCAAATTTAAGACAGCGTCTCTTGGATTGTTCATCATTACTGTTTCATCAGGAATTTGCTTTAACCGGAACATACAGTTAACCACGATCACTTCACTTCTGTCAATTTGAAGTTCCTCCAGTCGGATGGTTTCCCATTTCTTAGCAATGACATTGTACTCAAATGGGACATTATACCTCTTAGAATATTTAGCTAAGCGGCGCCCTGTCTCTTCAATTTTTTCGGCAGGTCGAAAACCTGGTTGGGGAAGCTCAATTGCTGTGATACGAAGATTAGGAGGTCCACCAGTTTTCTCTGAGAGACTTTGGATAAGGCAGGGCCATTGTAAACCATAAGAAATACCAATATCAATAATGTGAAGCCTTGTTGCCTTCTCTGTTTGTTTCATAATTGTTCTGTTGGCAAAGAAGTGTAACATCTTCTTGAAAGGGCATACAGAAACATACACCTGATACGCTTTTAAGATTTCGGTAGTTGATGCGGGCAAAAATAGATCAGGTGAATATGCTAGGGATCTCGCACCAGCCAAGCGTGCCTCTAGGCCTTCGGCAAAGTAATGAGCTAATCTCTGGGTTGCATAACCATAGGGGGAAGAATGCTGTCTTATCTGCTTGAGAAGTTCACTTGCAGATTGTTGGTCATAGCTTCCCACAGCTTGTGCACATTCAGTTAGCAGCTTGCACAAGTCTACTACTGGCCGGTTGCTGTTCGGTTTCTTTGAACACGTTGTCTTAGATCCCTTTGACTGCTTGTTGTGCTGCAACTTCCTAGTTCCCTCAGCGTTTAAAGATTCATCATGAAAACAGGACTCAGATTTAGGATTCACACCCTGTAATACCTTATCAAACATTTCTTGGAGATCAGAATCGTCAGCAAAAGCAGCTGACTGCTTGTTGCTTCTCCCTTCTTCTGTGTAATGACCGTCCTCCCTTTGATGATTCTTCTTTCCCTTTGATCCATTTGTTGAGTTGTAGCCATAATTCTCTGGCACGGATGCCAAATTCCTGCACAGTGTGTTAGGACCAGGAGGCATACACTGGTACCCCTCAAGGTCAATGATTTCATTTCCTTTCCCTACACCTCTAAAATTCCCAAGACTTTGCATCCCAGAAAATGAATCTGAAACCAAAGTGGTATCAGATAGAGACTCAACAGGAGAAGTTTGGACATGAGATGTTTCTGAAAAATCCCAAACGCTGCCTGTCTTAGCAGCAATAGAGCCATTACTGCTTTGAAAGCCAGAAATAGAGCCATTACTGCTCTGAAAACCACCATCTGAGTTCTCAAAGCTTTGGTAAACAGAGAAAGAGGGTTGGTTGGGTAAAGGAGGATCCTTCTGATTAAGGGCATCATAGAAAGATTTTTCAGCAGCTTGGAGGCCCAAAATGTCCTCCAACATGCAGGGCTTATCCTCCAGGTCTTCTTCTAGAAGAATATCACTTATGTACTTGAGCACAGGAAGATTGCAGTCACTACTGTCAACAGTATCACCCTCTGAAGAAGTGCCTGAATCACTAGGACGGTCTAAGTTGGCTGGAAGGAGAAGTTTATTGGTGGGTTCATGATTTACGTGGAGCCCATTTACAAGGTTTTGATCAGAAGAGACTGAATTTGAGCCATGGCCAAAATTAAGTTCTTCCATGAGAAGAGAAAAAACAACCTAACTAGCAGGATTTGGTCACAATTTTTATTTTTCAAGAAACTCAACTGTGATATGAAATTTTGGAGCTGATGACCAAGAAGCTTTGGAAAAAAAGAAAAGAAAAAGCAAAGTATGAAACTTAAGATAAAACTGGAGCCAGTGGAACAGTGAGAAATAGCCAGAAAGAGAGTGCAAGATTCAGCAAAAAACAGAAAACAGCTTATGAACAGGAATAAGATTGATCAGACAATAATGGAATAAAATCTGAAACTCATTCAAGAAGGAAACTAAGAAATATTGCAGAGTACCTGATATTTCTGGGACATTAAAATTATCAGACAGATGCTTGGTTTCTTTTTTTTGTGAATAAAATCTGGAGAACCATCTTCAAAGCAATGAACCTTCTGAGAAAGTCTTAACTAAAAAGTATGACAAAGTCAGTCGTCGACTTATAAGAAAAAAGCAGTCCATATAGGAAGGCAATTTTAGAATTCAGTGTCTTGGTGTGGGGACGTCAAAAGAGCCAATATTTCTTGGGTTCCCACCATATATGGCCATCTATTGAAATTTTTGGCAGCAGTGAAATCTGATAATGTTAATTTTTAAGGTAACAAAAGAATAAAAGTTAGCACTCCCAACTGATCATCTCTTTTATAAAAAAAAAAAAGTAAAACATCAAATTCGAAAAAGCCGTTTTGTCTTTTTCTGCTTGTTTCAAATGCGTGGGCTGCTGGAATTGCCCTAAAGATATGAAAAGGGTCTTGTGGGTGAGAACAATGCTTGGCTCCTTTACAAAACAACACGGTTTTTTTTTTTTTTTTTCCCCAACTCCTTTAACCCAAGCCTTTTTGTTGGTTTTCTTTAACTTGGGTTAGTTTCTTTTCCCCTTCTTCTTCTTCCTCTCTCTGGCTGTTTCTTCTTTCTTTCTTCTTCCTTCTTATAATTTAGGAATTTGGGTGAAATAAAGACCACCTTTTTTCCTTTTTTTTTTTTCCACGATCCTCATATCAACTGAAGATAGACCTTCATTTTATTTCCATTTTGGCTGACTTAGTATGGTGTCTCTGGCCTTTTTTTTTTTTTTTTTTTTCTCTCCTCCTCCTTTCTTCAACAACCATGAAAAATCTTTTTTTTAAACAAAGAAAAAAACCTGCAAGTCACCCTCCCCTCCCCTGCCTTCGTCTCTTCCTCCTTAACTTACCCAAGTTAAAAAACCAGCAAAAGACTTGAGTTAAAGGAGTTGGAAAAAAACAAAACAAAACACACGTGTTGTTTTGCAAAGAAGCCACGTTACGTGTTCAGGAGGAATGACTCCTGATATATCAGGAGCCAAGCATTGTCCTGGAAGGAAATGAAGTTGGAATCAAGAGCGGAACCACACTAAGGGCTACAGTGGGCTGTAGCCCAGTGTGGTTTTTTAAGAAAAAAATATAAAACTTATGTATTTAACTTATTTTCAATATTATCAGTGATTGTGTACAGATTACCTTATTTCCACTTTCAACATTTAAGTAAATGTCTTTGTCATTTTACTTTTATTTATTTTTATATTACTCCATTTACTTAAGTTTACAATGTAAATAAGGAAGTACCCCTTATTTGGATTCAAATAAAAATACTAGAAAATCAAATTCCCACCAAATCAAAAAATGAAAATTCGGTTTTAGTGCAAAATACGATTTATGCTAAAAATGATGGCTCATTAAGTCAATATATACTTCATACTAAAATCCCATAAAATCAAGTTTTCTTATTTGATGTGTGAGGAATAAAAGCCGCCAAATATTATCTTCAGAAAATGATTATTCTGAAAACCCTTTTTTCATACTTAGTCAATGTTTTTACATAAAACAATTTTTCATATATGACATGAATGCATGAAGGAACTAAGGTCAATCTAAGTAAAAAGCCTTAGATGTTCAATCCACTATGGTGTTAAACCCTAATTGGTTTATGTTAAAACTTATTGAAAATTAGTTTATGGAGCTATGAACTAGCGTGGTTTATATGATTTAATGTTTACTTTTATTTCTACAAAGACTATAGAAATTGTAAGTACAAAAAAAAAAATAATCATTAAATTTTAAGTTAACAACTTTAGCTAGCCCACCCGTTGAAAAATTCCTGGTTCCGCCCTTGGTTGGAATTATATGTTTTCCTCACAATCAACCGCATCTGAAAAACAACCAAACAAGACACAAATGAAAGAATCATAAAAGCAAATTTACCAACAAAAGAAAGAATCATAAAAGCAAAGCCTCTAGAAATGGAGTAATTTTCCAATACACATGAGACATGCGGAATTATTCTCCAATACACATAGGACATAAAAATAAAATATTTCCACATGTTCGATGTATATTTGATGGTACACCACCGGAACATACAAAAATTTATCCTAGAAATGAAATTGGAATTATGTGCCCCGACATGCGGGAGGCACTATATGAACAATGCAGTCTTCCACAACCTTGTTGACCATCTTCAATTGTTTATTCTTCATTGCTCTCAAAGATTTGAGGTTGTTAAGCATCTTCTAGCTTAACTACATAGCTCTTTTATTTTGAGTTCATAGCTTGAATTTTGATTAACTGTTTCAAGTCCTTAGTCTTTTAAGGAATAACAAGATTTAGAAGTTAAATATGTGCATTAGCCAAGAAACCCTACTTAGAACCCCTAATAGTGTAAATGTATGTGGACTACAACAAATTGCATTTGAGCTTCCTCAAATAGTGCTCTGCTCCAGCTTAGATCAAAATATTGCAAATCCAAGATCAAGCTCCCATTGGAAGAGATGAATAAATAAAATTAACAATGAACTCATTACAACATGACAAAACGGTAAACACAACTTCGTCAATGGAAGGAAGATTAAAGGAAAAATTCAAGAGCAAAGAGACTAAAGATTTTATAGTGGTCTAGGCTTTTTTCCAAAAGGAAAGAGCCATAATGGTTCTTCCTTTCCATCCCTGCAGAATCCAATGGCCATCTTCATCAATCCTAAAATCATTATGATAACCCATAAACTTCAACATTCTCTTCACTTTCTTCAAAATCTCTTGGTCTAGTGGGAGTTGCTTGAACCCAGCCCTCACATTCCTAACCTGCCACTGCTTGTATGTCTCAGGCCTTTCAACTCTTTCCAGTCCCTCACACGCTACGACATTCAATATGTCCTTACCATATACATATTTTTCGTACATCAGCCGCCGTTCATCTTCACGAGGAACACTGGCCTCAAACACATCAAACAGTGCAGAGAAGTGGAAGAGTGCCTCTCTGAACCTTGTGACAAAGAAGGGTGAATTGTATGTCCCATTGACAACCCCATGAAAGAATAGGTCTGGATTAATTTTCTTGATCAATTTTAGGACAATGTCTCTAGGACTGTTCACCATCACTGTCTCATCAGGTATGTGCCTTAGCCGGTTCATACAATTCACAACAATCACCTCATTTCTGTCAATCTTAAGATCCTCAAATTGGATTGTTTCCCACTTCTGAGCAATGACATTGTACTCAAATGGGACATTAAATCTCTCAGCATATTTTTTCAGGCGACGCCCCGTCTCTTCAACCCTTTCTGTAGGTCGGAAACCTGGTTGGGGAAGCTCAATTGCTGTGATACGAAGCTTAGGAGGTCCACCCGGTCTCTTGGAGAGACGTTGGATAAAGCAGGGCCATTGGAAACCATAAGAAATGCCAAAATCAATAACGTGAAGCCTTGTTGCTTTTTCTGCTAATTTCAGAATTGTTCTGTTTGCCAAGAAATTTGACACCGTCCTGAAAGGGGATGAAGTAACAAATACCTCGTAAGCTTTTAAGATTTCAGCAGCTGATATCTGCATACTAACAAGGGGAGAGTATGATGGAGTTCTGGCTCCAGCCAAGCGTGCCTCTAGGCCATCCGCAAAGTAATGAGCTAATCTCTGTGTAGCATCACCATACGGGGAAGAATGCTGCCTTATCCGCTTGAGTAGTTCACTTGCAGTTCTTTGGTCATAGCTTGCAACAGCTTGTGCACATTGAGTTAACAGTGTGCTCAAATCCACCAGTTCCCTGTTGTTATTCTGCTTCTTTGAACCAGCTGTTTTAGACCCTTTTGACTGCTTGTTGCGCTGCAACTTCCCACTTCCCTCAGTTATCAAAGATTCATCATTAGAACACGATTCAAACTCATGATACCCAAGACAAAGTAAAACTTCATCAAACATTTCTTGCGGCTCAGAGTCGTCAGCAAAAGCAACTGGCTGCTTGTTGCTTCTGCCTTCTTCTGGATAATCACCATTGTCCCTTTGATGATTTTTCTTTCCCTTTGATCTATTTGTTGAACTGTAGTCATCATTGTCTGGCCTCCTCATCAGTGTGTTAGTAGCTGGAGGCCACTGATCAAGACCCGGAGGCATTAACTGGCACCCCTTCAGATCAATAGTTTCAAATTTTACCTTTGGAAGAAACTTGCTTGCTTCCCTTAACCCTCCAAAATACTCGAGCCTTTGCATCTCAGAAAGTGAATCTGAATCCAAACCAGCATCTGGTAGAGACTGAACAGGAGAAGATTGGACATGTGAGGTTTCAGAAGGATCAAAAACCCAGTTTGTCTTTGCAGCAATAGAGGCATTACTGCTATGACAACTATGTGGGAAATCATCATCTGAGTTCTCAAAGCTTTGGTAAACAGAAAGAGGGGGTTGGTTGGGTGAAAGAGGGTCCTTCTGATTAAGGACATCATAGAAAGATTTTTCAGCAGCTTGGAGGGCCAAACAGTCCTGCAACATGCAGGGCTTACCCTCCAGGTCTTCTTCTAGAAGAATATCAGTTATGTACTTAATCACAGGGCGATTGTAATCACTAATGTCAGTAGTATCTCCATCTGAACCAGAGCTCAAAGAAGTATTTGAATCACTAGGGTGGTCCAAATTGGTTGAAAGGCAAATTGGACTGGTGGATTCTTGATTTACTTGGAACCCATTCACAAAATTGAATCTTTCCACGGAAAGAGAATATCTTTCAAGAAGGGTATCCATAAAAACAATCTATCAACCAATTTACCTGGTTAGATTTTTTATTTTTCAAGAAACCTAACTGTGATATGAAATTTTGGAATAGAAAGGAATTGAAATGAATATTGGAATCTCAAGTTATGAGACTCACCAAATAAGAACTTGACCCAATTGGGCAAGTGAGAGATACCCAGAACACAGACAGATAGCAAGATTCAAATTTGCACAATATCAGCAAACTGGTTTATATTATGAACAGGATAAAGATTGAACAAACAAAAATTGAATAAAATGATGAAACTTCTGGAATAACTAAGAAATATAGCAGAGGACCTCACGCCTGAAGAAAATCATAATTACCAGACAGCTATAATGGACTCTGGACGTGTATATATACATGGGAGAATATGCTTATCCTCCGAGAAAAACAGAAGCTGGAAGATGCATCTTCATAGCAATGAACCTTCTGGGAAGGCCTCGTTGAACCAACCGCCACTTTTCTATATTATTACCAGTCTACAGAACCACAAAGGATAGCCGATGAGGTTTTGACATAAAGTGTTTTCAAGCTTGTGGAAGAGTCAAGAGGACCATCCATGAAAGTACACAGAGCAAATCGACAAAGTTCTAAAAGTCGAATCCAGGCGTGATTGACAATTAACAAAGTTTTTGACTTCTAATTATAGTTTTCTGTTCAAACTAATAGAATAGAAAAATAGAAGATTGACTATGTGAATTTTAAAGGTAACTGATGGATCACGGTCTGGAAATAGGTCACTAACAACACACACGAACACTCAAGTTTATGACTAGTGTACACTCATATATATCATAGTAAATTTATGCCACAAAATAAACTATTTCATTAATCAATCAACCAAAACTTCTCTACAACTATTACGTTAGTCTTATTTATAGGCTTTACAAGATTTGGGCACCAAGGCTACTTGGTCCAAAAGTAAACTAATTAATTATAAAATCACACATAAATAATGAAAGATATCCTAAAACTACCTAAATAAGAAAATAATAATACCTCATGAAATAACTAATTAAATGGTAAATATATGTCTTGATCCACCCCCTATGCTCCTACATCAAACTCCCCCGGTTGGAAAGAATTCATCCTCGAACTAAAGCCCTTCATTGAGGAAAAATCCGAATAAAATCTTCAATTGCTTCATATTGATTCTAGATCTTTTAGCACCCAATTAAAACCTTCCTTCCCAAATAAAAAGATATTTAGAATATTTCGTTATTCTTGGCTTCTTTTTACTTCCTTTAACAATGCAAATGTTTCTCTTTAGAACCTTCAACCGATTGACAAAATCAACCAGATTCTTGGCAACCTTCCAAGTGAAAACATTAATGCCCATAAAATCAATAATATCTTTGGAAATTTTATCAATTCTCATTTCTTCATTGTCCTGTTTAATAAATTGCTTATCAAATTGCTTTGAATGCCCAAACAATTTTAATTGCAATTTTCACACTTGCAATGATCAAATATTGGAGGCAAATCTAAATTTAATAAATTTGGTGAAGAACAAGATGCACCAAAATTACTAAATCTATTTGTACCTTCAAATACACAATGAGAATCAATGTGCCCATATTCACTTGACTCACACAACAGAGCGCAACAATAAAAAGGGCTAGTACTCTCCATCGAGACTCTCACATCTTAGAGTGTCAATGCGAGTTACTCAGTTCAGATAAGGGTTAATCCCTCCCCATTAGAACTCTTACCTATCCGGGTTGGAGCTTTGATGCGAGTGATGCATTCCATAAGTTGATGTAGCATCCTCCTAATTTCCTCCATGTCGTTGTAGTTGTCGACACGACTCTCCATCCAAAAACCTCCCCGAGAACGCAGATCTTGAGTTGTAGCTCTTATATCAATTTATGGGGATCGAGATTTGGACATAGGTCACCAACAACACACACGAACACCCAAGTCTAGGGCTAGTCCAAACTCACATATATCATAGCAAATTCATGCCACAAATAAACTATTTCATTAATCATCAACCTAGCATAAGACTTAGGCACCAAGGCTACTTGTTTTAAAAATAAACTAATTAATTATAAATTCACACATAAATAATAAAAGATACTATAAAACTACCTAAATAAGAAAATAACAATATCTCATAAAATAACTAATTAGATGGTAAATATATGTCCTGATCCACCCCTATGCTCCAATATCAATAACAAAAGAATAAAAGTTGGTTTATGTGAAATGGAAAATATATAACAAAAACACAATCGAGTGTGAACCAAATGAAGTTTCCCCAGTCTAAGAAACAAAACAACCAAAATCACCAATTCATAAAAGTGTGACCTATAAGGATATTCACTAAAAACTTGTACCAAACCTAGCACTTAACAATAATAACACCAAACAAAATAGCTTCAAGTATTTCGTTTTAAAACTAGCCTATTTAAATCAATAATTAGTTCTCATCGCAAACTCATACTATAACTAGACCTAGTTGCATTTTATTGGAATTGGAAGAATAACAAAAATAAATTTTATTTTACTTTTTTTTGTTTCTGAAGTAACTCTCATCAACTAGCACTATAGATCCGGCTTTACCCAAACGTTTCTAGTTTACCTCAACATTCCCCACTTGCGCAACTGTTGCTCAGCAGTTTTTGGATATCAAACGGACCTCTCCAGAATGTCTTGGAACGAGCATGAAGAAATTAATGATACTTATTTTTCTTTTGAGTTGGCCTGACGGATCATTCACTCAAGACCTTTGGTCTCTACCCCAACTCGATGAAAAAAATAGAATCACTTCTTATGGACTCGAGGAGAATGATTATGATCTAGTTCATGGCCTAGTAGAAGTAGAAGGCGATTTGGGCTTTTATGAGCCTCTAAAATATCTTTTATACCATGACCAATGCCCAATTGGTTCTATACATGTGAGTCGTTGTTGTTGTCAAATTCAGCTGCACCAAAATTGATTCAGCTGCATCCTCAACTTGTGATACTCACAAGTGCAGGAGCCGTGCGGTAGTATAGCATATGTAAGTGCGAGGTCGATCCCACGAGGATTGATGATAGATTGATGCAATTTGATTTCCTGTACAAAACTGAAATGGAAACAAGATTTAAAGAAAGTAAATAACTAACTCAAGCAAATAAGTTACCAAGTTCAATTTAGATAAGATTGATTCTAGCTAAAGTATGATTAAGCCATGGTGTTTGGTCCTAACCTTGTATTCCTAATTCCCTAATTAGATCCTTGTTGTCGAAC